TGTTTGTTTTCCGTGTGTTGTTATGCTTATTAATTTGTTGTTTGGAAAGCACTTTGTGTCAAAAAGGTGCTATATAAATAAAGTTCTACTTACTTACATTAAAGTTATATGATTTAAATTAAAATCAAACCCCATTTTTGATACTATTCATGGTCACCACTTTTCAGCAATAGCCATACTGTAACTACCTCTCTATATAGTTCCTTTTATTGTTAGAGGCAGAGTGGATTTTAAAATTGCTTAACTTTGAATGAGGGATTCACAACAAATCAGGCATTTCGTAATCCAGCTTTTTCAGCCTCACTGTAATACACCTACAAAAGTTTGAATTATTGTTGGGAATAATGGAAAGAGCAGCCACAGGGAGGAAGGTAACAAACTTTATGATGAAGGCTGACTTTATTAAAACAACATCAAGAAAATAGAAAAAAGTAGCTGCTCAGTGAGTGTCTGCTGCTCTCAGCTGCTTTTACCATCAGTGACTAGAAGCGTCATATCACTACAAAGTTTTCACTTTTCACTTCTTGTACAGTTACATTTTCTTGGTCTTACTGTCATGTATCATTGTCTATTTTGTCTCTTGCACAGTTTTAGTTGCACAGTTCTGTTTTTACATTTTAAATCATATATCTTTATGTCTTGCACAATGTACTAGTATCTACTTGTTTACCTGCTGCACCATAGGCTCCTGGTAAACAGCATTTCATCCCAAATCTATACTTTTTTTATGTTCGGGCTGACAATAAAGAGATATATCCTTCAGGTTTACCTTGAGCTGTACCCCAAAAAGCACAGCGCTGCTCCCTCTGGTCAGTGGCCCGATGTATTTGAGGTCCGCTTCTGCCAGCTCGTCCTGTTGGCCTATTTGGACCCACAGCGGGGCATCGACGGGCAAAGTAGCCAAGTGCTGCAGCTTCCCGGGATTGCCTGAAATATACCAAACAACGAAACACTGACGAGGGTAGAACAGATTTACATTTGAAGGTAAAATAAACTAAATATGTCATAAGTAAATATGTCAGTTTTGGAGTGAATGGTCGGTCAATGCAGACGAAAAATGTGATTTACTTCCTGTTTTCCCAATTAAAAGACAAAATGTGATCTCTGTCCTCAGAGCTATTTATTGTCATAAAGATCACATGTTCCTCATTCAAAGAAAACACGGAGCAGTTGCTTTTACTTTGAGCCACACGCTTGGTACTTCAATGCGAGTAAAACAAAAACAGTAAAAATCCCTTTTTAGGATCATTACTACTTCAGTATTTGTACTACCTCTATATTAACAACCCTAGTGGTTGTAATTAGTAAACACTACTACTAACTAACTATCATATTACTTAGAAGTTTTAGGCGGGCCTCCGGATCCGATACGGGCTCCAACAGGCCGCTGAATTCAGCTGGGACTTCATGCAGGAACTTCCTCTCTAGTTTCAACACAATGCCATTGTCCAACACCTGCAGGGAAACAGAGAGAAAGACAAACATGTGGGAAAGAAGAGAGAATGCATTAGGAGTGCGTACACACGGCACAGACGGAGTAAAACTAGCTCTAAGTATATCCAACCATTTGAAAAAGGTGACTCAACAGCATGTGGTGGATACTCTCATCGTATAGGAGGAGTGAGCTTAATGGATCAGCCAAGTCATGTACAAACTAAATTAAAAGTGCTGCTAATGAAAGTAAACGGTATAATTATTCTTTTTTTTTTTTCTTTGGACAAATATTTGTTATAATAGGAAACATGTAGGAGCAACTTAATCTTCACAGTTTCCTCATGACGTAAAATAAATAAAAATATAAAATAACAAAAACAACATATATATATATGAACACTATACACAAATAAATAAAATAATCTTTACAAATTATAGAATTAAGAGTAAAAAAACTCCAGGTTTTACATTATACTGTTATACTGACATTTATTTTTTAAAGTGAGCTTGTCTGGTGGGGTTTGAGTATTTGTTTTATTAACATATATTTTTTACTACATATTTAATGTCTTTTACAATGTTTTATGTATCTAAGTGTGTGTGTTGTGTGTTTCATCAGCACATCGTAAATATCTTTCATGTATCTTTCCTGATCTTTCTATCTTTATTTATTTATATATAAAAAGTACCTTATTTTTTGCACCAAGGTAAATTCCTTGTACGTGTAAAAAAGAACTTACTTGGCAAAAAACCCGATTCTGATTCTGATCTGACTGCCAGACACATTTCCTTTCCTTTGAAGTAAGTTTCTGTATCAATTATCCTGAAAAATGACTTCCTCAATTAATCAATTAAATCAAATACTTGTCTAAATGCATACACAACACAAAAGCCCCTATTATAATTTACCAGAGCCCAAAGTAATGGATTTAAATTGCATGTTTTGAACCCCTTATAACAGCAAATCCTTAAATTTGATACGCAAGCACAAAACCTTGCTAGAAAAATGACTAAATATCAATACAACTGCTAATTAATTCACCCATAACATATTTGATTCAGCCTTTTACAGTATATTAGGTAAACCCTTGAGTTTATACCTTGCTTACACTTCCCCATGCATTATAAATAATTAAGTTCTGGCCCCTGCACCCTAAATGGAGCCATGTAATGTCTAATTTAAGTGGATATCAGAATCAGAAATTGATCCCTGAGGGTGGAAATTGGTTTGTTACAGTTGTTCTACTCACACAACGTTAAATAATATAAATATTACACTATCTAACATATATATACAGACTAAAAATGCACGTATAGGTATATACATAGAGCCTGAGAGATATAATAAGGCAATAAAAGCTTATATAAGTAAATGTAAACATATTCCACAGTATGTGCGGACATAAATTAAATATTAATGAGTTTAAAAATGTTAACTGTGTTGGTTAATACCTTGACCCAAAGGAAGTCGCTTCTGCTCTTTTCTTGCTCCTGGCAGAGGAACCCCCGCAGCAGCCGAATGGTACCGTCCAGCTGGTCCTGGACCTTCAGGTCGGTCGAGATCAAGTACATTTTGAGGGGGCGGCGCTTCCTGCTTGACTCATGGGCCCCTGACATCTTGCGCGTATCTTTTAATATAACGTTATATGCAACTCGTTCACGGATGAATTAAAGCCTCCATTCCCCTGTAATGTTCATGTTCTTCAAGGAAAACGACAAGAAGGCCGAAGCGTGTCAGCTTACGTCAAGTGACGGCAACGACAGTTTATACGTTTAAAGTTTCATTCATGTTTCTAACTGAGCTCCGTTAACGTAAAAACAACACATGCTACGCTTGTGCCGTAATGTCGACTCACAAACCACGCGGTTAACTGTTAATAAGAACACCAGGCGTTCATTAAAACACTCACCAAACTTCACCAACTCTCCGAGCGTCAACATTTCCCGTCACATTTAAAAGGAGGTTACGCTTTAATAACAAACGGCGGCCGCGAAACAGGAAGCGGAGTGACTGACGTGTGTGGGAGCCAATAGCGAGCGAGGAAAAGTTCAGCGGGGGTAGTTTCAGCCAATCACAGCGCATGTGGGCGTCAACGGGGAAATTCCACATTTTCTTGACGGGCAAGGTAACAAGACAGACTGCACACACACAAACACACCAGATGTTTTAATTATTATTTATTTATTAGTTTATAAATAGAATAGAAAAATATCTTCCCAACATACTTCATTATTTTTTTTCATTCACACTTTCACATCATCCCTCGCAGAAATATAAACTTCATAGAAAAGGAGAATAATGCATAATGTAATGCTGAGCTCCCCTTTAAAAAACAACAGCAACATATTAGAAAATGCAATGTTAAATGTGCATTTTTTTCTGACTTTCCGTTGCATTTGAACACATCGTTATGCCTGCGTGCAGATGTGTTACAGCCTCAAGGGTCAGTTGTGGGTAGTAGTGAATAGGGAGACCAACATTTAAAACAGCGTGGCTTGCAGTAAATCTCTCCAGCTCCAGCAGAGAGCAACATTGGCCAGTGGTTTCTTACCTTTTCTGGTCTATTCTTACACGTTGAAGGTGTTTAGCAAGTAAAACTATCCAGGATTTCACAATAAAAAGCACATTCCTATGGAGTGAATCATCTCATGACAACTCATCATCCCTTGGATGTTGGGAACTCTTGGAAAAGACCAATTTTCAAGTACACAAACTGTATGCCTCCGGTTTTCATACATTTAAAGACACAAAATGTTCCGTACCAAAATACTCTAGACACAAAACATGACATTTAAATGTGAAAACAAATGTAAATGCTATTTTACAAACCACAATAGAGTGAAAGAAATATTGTAAATAACCTGCAAAAATGTTATTTTGCTTATTTGAGACACACTCCTTCTACAAAATCCTTCATAAAAACATCTAGGATGGATAGCCTGTTTTGTATCTCCAATAAATGAATCGTACATTCAGCCATGTTAAAGTACCAAAAAAAGTGTAAAAAAATTCAATCCAGTTTTCAGAATAACACAGTGAAAAGTGTGTGATGGGGACTTGACCCACCTAATGCAGTTTCACATGATAAAGAGATACAGTACAGATACAGTAAGCAACATGGTCTGCCATTAAAGAGTCCACGAGGAGCTCTGTGCTCCCAGTTGTAGTCTTCATTTAACCGATCAGGATTTTATTTAGGGTCTCATCCGACTGACAAAGGCAGCTCCACTGTGGATGTAAGTGATTAACAGGTGATACCCTGTATTGCTACATCTGTTTCAGCATTAAGTCAGCGAAGAGGCTCATGATAATTACAGTCCTGGGTAAACATACAGTAGTATCTTCAAGGCCTTGCCACTGGTTGTGTTCACCTCTGTGGGCAAGCTCAGTGTAGTGCACCAGTCCACAACCCCAGACCCTATCTGGTATCGCACTAAAACAAACACGAACAAGCGTTTTCAGTTTGGATCCAGGTCTGGGTGATAAGTCTGATCAAGATTTTGACTGCGGGGGAGGGTCAGAACGGAGGAGAAGATTGGTCTGTGTTCACAAAGTAGGTGGTGAGTTCCCCTTTGCCCTTGACGTTGACCACTCCCCTGAGAGTGACGCCGTATCCCACGCTCTCGACCATCTGGGCCGTCTCCTCCGTCACCTGCGAGCACAGAGAAAAGAGTTACAGAAGGGAACGTGTACGCTCATGAATACGCACGACATGTAGCACTTATTAGGAAACTAGTGTCAGGAGGTGATGTGGTATGAAAACCCTCCACTCAGTTGCCCGCTGCCCGTTTTTATAAATAATGTTTACATTTATTTCAATTCACACCCGTCAGGTTCACGTAGGTCTGTTTTAAAACAATACACAGGTGTCCATATGAACACTGAAACAGACTTGAAAGATTGTGAATCTATCATTTAAT